GTGACAGCGGCACGGTATTTAACAAAAAGCGTTTTACCGACCCGAAGGATTAGAACACGAAAAGGTATCGGCCCTGGACGCAGCGCTCAGCCACAGCACCGAGGCGAAAGTTAGAGCTAAATGATGTTTTCTGGAGCGCTTGCTGCACCGAGCACCGTTTTTTCCATTTCAGTAAATAAAAATATTAATTAAAAAAACCCAACACCCCCAAACAAAAACGACTCTATGGAAGTGAATGTTTAATAAAATGCAAACAGGTTGGGATAAAATTTTAAAAGAACATAAATAGCTTCAGTTACTCTCTACTTGAGGTACATGTTAAAGGGGGTTTTCAAACTCCCTCATGCCAGCAGCTCACCTGCCGCCTGTAAAGAAACAAGGCAGGGATAGGAAGCACGGGGGAATTAGAGAATACAACCTTTCTGTGCCAGAATTTGCTCGCATAAAAGCTATTTCCATAAACTTTTTTAGAACAAGTATTTAAAACTTTGCAGACTAAACCAGGGTGCACGAAGAACCTAGTATACTTCAGGTTTAGGTACTCATAAAGCAGCCATATAAAAGTGATCTTTTTATTTTTAAGATTTTTCAAGTGTGGAACAACGAAACCATTCGTACTTATGCCCTGCGAAGCTGTTCATACAGCACTGATTACAGGACGACAGCCACAATTAGTATTCAAGACAAATAGACAAGTAAAACCATTAAATACACCTTCCAATAATTCCTAAATCAAAAAATACATCAAACTAGTGTTGGGCAGCCATAAGCAAGTTACCAGTACAACATGAGCCTCCAGCTACCTCTGAAACAAGAACTGCAAACGAAAAAACCCCAAGAGATACACTAAATTCAAATATATCAAGTCATGGGAAAACACGCTTCACCTTAGATTTTACCTTGCAGTTATACTACAACAAGAACTTACCAATTATAAATGCCTGTTGTACTTACAAACTCACATTTTACCAACTGGTAGAATCAGATTCCCTATCATGTTGTGACAACATAAAAGAGTTCATGTTGTTACTTTACCTTAAGAGGAGTGAGGTCCTGCTGCTTGTACAGAAAGTGTGAGGTCTGCTGTTTAACAATTCCTCTTCCTTCATCCCAGGTAATCTTTTGCTGCAGGTTGTTCTTCCTCTATGAATTATAAGAAAGCATTTATCAGAGGGAGGGAAACTACGCAGCAAGGAACAGGTTAATGAGAGACAGTGCTAACACTGGAGTTCAGTTATATTGTTGGGGGTTTTTATATGAGCAAACTGCATGCTATTCATATTTCTTCCATATTGACTATTAGGTCTTCAAATTATACATATATTGCATCTATGACACCTTAGACTCAAGGCTGATACAGAACCTGAAGCGTCGATAGAGTACAAATACTGTGTATCTTCTTTTTCCCCTTTTAAACTTTGGTTTCTGTTACAGAAGTTATAACTTGAAACTTGGCTCTGACCTTATATAATGAAGGATATGGGGATAAAGTGCTTTCCTTTCTCATTGATGTGTGACGCTCTATAAAAACTAGCAACACCCTCCCAAATTTTTGTACTTGCCTTAAAATCTGATCACAGTAAACGTAGCTGTAGAACTGTGACATTTAACAGTTTTATCTATTGCTCCACCTGCTGGTGCATATTCCTTTTAAAGCAGTCTTTAGAAGCCTAAATGTATTAAAAATTTGGCCAAAGATCTACACAAGAGACATACTTCACTTTAAGCTGAATTTATGTAACATACTAATTAAATCAAATCTAATCCCAACATTTTCTGTCAAACAAAGGCCAACAGAAGCACAGACTCAGGGAAACGTGAGACATAGCTCACTTCTTTGGACATTGCCATTCACTTTTATTGTAACAATAACTCAGTCAGACATAATTTTCCATCATCTATTCTTTTCCTGAATTTCTGTTTGGACAATTACTGCAAGTGAAATATCCTGTTTCTTCAGCCCAATTAATTGTTCTCTGCTCTGAGACAGAAAAAACACACTATGACCGACAAGCACTGGACTGTTTCATTAAAAGATATTTTGAAATACCACATTATACAAGCATGAATATCTACTAGCTTAGTTGTACCTTACAGGGAGTACATCGAAGTTTCCTTCTGCTATGGAAAATCCTGAATTCTCTACTCTTGCCAGGCCAAATTTAAAAGTGAAAACAGATAAAGTTAGGGTCAAAAGACGCACCATTATGAAAAGCAAAGCCCAAACAGCAAATCTGAAAACATAATAATGAAATTAATGTGCTTCCTTCTTTTAGTCCATTTCTTTTCAATAAAGTCAGATGTACAAAGGACTTCGCATTAAAATTCACTCAGCAATGGTAGGGAAATGTCAACGGGGGGACCAACAATTATAGAAACCCTTGGTCACCAGCAAACATTCAGTCCTGCCTCATTTACTAGAAAATACAAAAAAGTAACAAGATGCATCTCAAGTTGGCATTCACACTGTAATCCATTTTTAAGTAATGGCGATGCTATAAAGCCAGATAGCTGGTGCTAAAGGTATAATGTACATTTATGTAATTTTTAACAGCCAGAAATCTATAGGACAAGAAGGTAATCGGATAGATAATAAGTAACAAATGACAATTCTTTCATTTTATAGCTAACACAGAAAGATGCCATCTTGCAGATTTTCACAATCTAGAAATTCTTGCCATAAGATGTGGGAAAAAAAACCCCTGAAGAACAGTTTTATTAAGCTGAAAATAATTAATCTAGAAAATTGGCATTACTACCACCATCATATAAAGATTTCTCTACTTCATAACAGAAGACTTCATATTGTGTGACTGATGAATGGATTAAAAGACACTACCAATGTGAAAAAAGTATCTTTCCAAAACTTTGATTTAAAAAAAATCTGCTCCTTGAATTAATTCAAAACTTAAAAGAAAATATACTTCAAATCTCTCACAGTATAAACAAGACTGCTTAACAAGCAACCCTCTTCATACCCTGCTCCAGAAAAGCTTTGGAAAAAGCTACAGGGTCTGGGTGTAAAACTGCAAGAAGAAACGATAAATTCTGAACCAGGAAAAATACCTGGTATTTTACACAATGTAAACTATAGAAACCACACAATAAGCGCTACATGTGGTAATAGAAATAAAAGCTCCCAAATCCTTCTGCAATTCATCATCTATGAAAACCAATTTCTATTGTTTTCAGTTATTTAAATGGTGGTAATATTGCACATGGGATAACTGATTTCCAGCCAAAGAAACACATAGTTACTTATCTAACTATTAGAGTCTTCATAAGACAGGAAAAGATGTTCTTGTAGTCAGTATATTTAGCCTTCATGCTTTTGGATGTCATATAATGAACAGCAGATAAGCTCATAGCTTCAAAAACCTTGCAATTAAGTGAGGCACAAGTGAAAGATAAGCTAAGTTTCTTCCACTTTCCCAATTTGCATCAGTAAACATTGATTTTTTTGCAAAGAGCACTCAGCACAGCTACTTAAAATGTTGGCTTTAAGGAGCAACACAAATCTTGTGAAGAGACCAGAAAGAGCCGCAGCATTACAGTGCCTCAAGGGAGGCTGCCTGTATGTAAGGGATTGCACGAAAAAACAAGGCCTTCGTGATAACCTTTTCCAGCTGGGCAGTCACTCAGAAAAGGAAGAAAGAATATGAGACAAGAACACATAAATGGGACAAGGCTGCTTTATTCAAACTGAACCTCCACGATTCTTCGCCTTCAAATGATGAAACGTATTGAGCCCTTCCTGGGATGCCTCACGGTTAAGCATCTCAGTTCCTCGTCTCCTTCCATCCTCATACCCACTAACCAGCTACCACAGCTAAGCTAAAGAAGGTAAGAACATTTTTGGATGGATGTTCAATTAATCAAAAACTACCTTTAGATAAAACAGCTGGCAGTTTTCAAACAGAAGAAAGTATTTTCAACTAGTCATTCTTATGAGGTACCGGTGTCACTCCCTTACTAGTGGTTCTCTAAAATCTGGGGTGGTTAAATATTCAGGGATTAGAAGTACCAGATTTTTTTTTAATTGAAAATAAAACACAGCATTATGAAAATGGGGATAATCTTCCCAGAGTAAGGCTGGCTTCATCACAAATTCTTCCTAAAGAAAAAGGCCACTGATATAAGGACCACCTTAAAATTTTAAGTCTATTTTTAAATAAAAACAGCAAAACAAGCAACTTACTTATTGCATTCAAAATACTTGCTCCTCATATAAATGAAAACAAGTAGAAAAATGCTAGCTGTCCTGATTCATGGAATTTGCTGTGCTTCATTTCTGGCAAATGCAGACACCTATTAATTTTCTAGAAACAAAAAGCAGATCAGTACATGTAATTTTTAAAACAATGGAACTCTGTGGAACTTAGTGTTCACTCCCAGATTTATTTTTGTAATTTTTTTTTCTTCCCAAATCTCTTATTCCTCAATCAAAATACATAACTCCCACAATTTAAGACCCTGATCAGCACTTTGTATGACAATTAGTTTCAGTAAGACTTACCACTATGGTAAAGTTCACACGAAAAATATTCAGATAAGGTATTCAGACACATTTTTTCCCCTCATAATCGGAGTCATATTGCTAAATTTTCCAAATCTCTTTGCAGACTTAAAAAACAATTGAGCTCCTGTGGCTCACATGATCCATTTGTGAAGACATTCTAAGACCATTCAATAACAGATGGTCTTCACAATAGCTTTAACAAATTCATTTTACTTTGCAACTGACTTGGTGTAAAAAAGCAAACAATGAAGTCTGAGCTCCCTCTTTGAGGCAAAGCTCAGCTGGAAAACAGAAATCCACCAGTGCAATATTTTCATTTTTGATTTTCTGAATATATCTTACGAATCTAATGCAGCAGACCTCATCCGCAGATATTTTGAGTAGGGCATAAACATTCAGTGTTGTTTTTTACAGGAAAAATACAAATTATATTGATTGAAAGAAAGATTCAGTGGATTATACCATTAAAAATTGAGGAAATTTCACTATAAAAAAGCATAGAATCAGAGAATCATTTAGGTTGGAAAAGAACCGTTAAGATCATTAAGTCCAACCATTAACTTAATATTGCCAAGTTCACAGCTAAACCAAGGTCTGTTTGCAATTTTGTCAAAGAATAAAAGCATCAATCATAACAGGGCTTCTAAATGCTTAACCATTCCTTGTACCATTGCTTACATTTACCTTGAAGAAAAATTGTCAGCAACTGATGGCTAAAAATAACATGTTAATAAAAGCAAATTATATTCTAGTAATATACTTACATCTAATACATACTTCTGGATTACAGCATGCAGATTAACAGCTACAAGCATGTAGAAGAAGATTGGTCTTTTGGATCATAGTCAAAAAATGAAATTGCTCACTATTGTCTTCTTAAAAAAAGAGAGTAATCTTTCATTAGTAATGCAAGACCTTACAAGAAGAAAAAAAGATTTGATTTAATCTCACCAGCAGGATAGGTAACACTGTACTGCAGAGCAATAAAGATGCTAGTGGACTTAGCTGTGGCCTGAAATTCAAAAAAGAAACAAGTAAAAGTATCAGATTTTTCAAACATGCTAGACTATAAACAGCCAAAACTAGAAGATTATGCCATCAACAAATGTTCTCCCACCCATGATTTAAATCGAAGAGGTGACAAAAGTGTTATTAGTCTCCCACAAACATGGAGGCTCACTTTGTTGCAAATCCTTTAACATTTGTTGCAAATCCTTTAACATTTGTTGCGTAAGGTCAGGATCTGAATTATGTAATTTTAGCTAGAGATCAAATTACCCACTGTTCTACTAAATAATATTTTGAAGTGTAAATGGCTTTCAAAAAGTTAAAAGACTCTAGATTAAATCAGATGGAAAACTTCATCTAATTTTGCAAGATATTAACAGAAGCGATCCATCAATTTCTTGTATGATAAATCAAGCATTTCCTAAAAACTGTAGTATAATCAAAGTAACCAGTGATATACATTTATGTTAGTTTTTCTCCAGTGGCAAAACTATTTTTTTGTAAAAACAAAAAAACCCCCCACAAACGAACCCAAACAAAAAAACCCCACAGCTCTTTCAGCCACCCCTACCTGTTTGAAACATCCTCCCATTCCCATGTTACAATATATTTAGCCCTTAGCTATAATAATGAAACTGTTTATAATGTAGATTACTGTATGACCCTACAACTGAATGATAAGAGGTGAATATGTTTACTTGATTCACCTGAAAACATTTAATTATCTGGTTTGCACAAATTCAAAAACCAATAGTTGTGCTCATGTAACTGAAAAAGTCATAAGCTGTAACAGAGGGATGTAAGTGGAAGGACGAAAAAAACAAAAAAAACCCCACCCTGGTTCCTTTGCTGTAAAAAAAATTCAGTATAGAATTACATCCTACACTGCCGATAGCAATTACAGTTATTACGTTTGCAAGCACTCAATTCATGAATCAGAGAAGTAGAACAGACATAATCTAAAAACTGTTATAAAAAAAAGACATTCTTGTCTCATTTACGCTTTTTCTTAAACTAATCTTCATGCGAGACTTAAAGAAATAAAAATTAAAAACCCAACTATTTTCCTAAGAGGTTACATGATCTAATTTCTGAAAGTGTAACTACAAATATTCAGGAGTATCTAAAACCAACATTAACTTATCCAGCTCCAAAGTAATGCAAAAAAAGGGAGAAGGCAAATCGCTCCAGCACACCGGGAATGCACCTGTGAAATTAAGCAGAGGAGTCCTAATGAAAAGTGCTTTAAGAGGAAGTCTCATTAAGAAAAATGAAAGTACCAATTTTTTGGCATACAAATGTGACTTTCAGACACTGCAGTTCTATGAACAATTTAACCTTTCGTAAGCCTGCACTACCATCAGAAGGAGCAATCCTGCCTTTCTCTTTACTGCTAGTTGCTCCCTGTCTCAGTTCCACACTCAGTTCCAAAAGTGTGGTTGACAGAAAAATGACATAAGTTAAAACTGATGCAGCAAAATAGGAGGGAGGAGAAAACCTAATTAATCTTAAAACAGATTTATTTCCTAATATACTGCACAGCTCAGCTGCAGAAGTTTTTTTTTAATGTGTGCTTGATAGGAAGAATAAGCAGCCAGAACATCAACCAACTTAAAACATTTACGGAATGAAAGTGTGAAAAATTCATTGCCAACCGGTCCTGGAATGACAGGGAAAATACAGGTAGTTCCTGGAGTACCAATGGCATTGGCACCTAAATAAAACAAACACGTTTCTTTTCAGTAATTCATCACTCAGGACCCAGAGCAACAGTCTTCCTTGTAGAAAGACGTTCAGGCAGCATCACGTAACTTCAAGCAGGCCCTTTCAATAGGGAGCTTTCCCAAGAACAATTTTTTTTTTACGCTCCTTGGGAGAAGAGAGTGCTAAGAATCTTTGCTACAGCCCAGCAAATTAGCTTTTCTGTTTGTCTGTGAAGCATACAACATAATACCACAAGCATTTTGCCCTCCTGGAAGTATGGGAGCCCCGTGAAGTGGTATTTTGTGGTAGGACAGCCAGATAGAGAGACGCTGTAAAATGATCTAAGAGGAAAGAAACCATACAAAACCATCTGGGATGATACTAGAAGCTTTAAAAGAACCATAAACAACAAAAGGAAGGTTTCTTTAGAAGACAAGGCCCATTCTGTTGTCAAGAAAATGAGCACGGCTGAGCACATAGAAGACTGCAAATATTCTCAGAGAAGGAAGAAGAAAACAAATAACAATTACCACATAAAAATTTTAACTGATGCTGTTCAGTATAATCAGAGTGAATCTCCTTACACACATCTACAGTCCTCATAATAATGAGCAAAGCTAAGGTAGGGGAAGGTGGATAAATGACCTAATGTGTAAGAATTCCCTGTAAATAAATTCTTATAATTGAATTTAGGGCATTCCAATGCTCATTTCTAATTTTAACATACTTACTGTTTTTTTTGGGGTGGTCTCATCCATAGGGGCAATTGAATGTCACATAGAAAACAAATGTCACTACATAAGCGCAGTAAATCACTCAATAGGCAGTCAGCTACAAGTTTCATTTACACCATCTTTAGTTTGTTACTGTACAGCCTATGGTATCATGAGCTGCCCACCATTTAGAAGGAAATTACGTGACCATCACAACTGCTCTCTCTATTTCTCTTCAGTATCCTTAACGTTTAATGTATCTTGGCCCACTGCTGAAAAGACAGATGATCTACATTTCAGTATTTATCTCAGAACTGAACAGCACTTCTAATTTAAAGGCAAAACCGCTCGGCAGCAAAGCTG